ACAATAATTTTAAATTATGTTTAAGTTGTAAAGATTTTGTTTTTAATTTATAAATTAAATAAACCAACGGGTAAGTATTTTATAAGCTCAGTGATATTTAGCTTGTACAGTTGAAATAAATCCCTATCTTTAACATCTTAACCAAATTTTCCTATACTGTAGTGGTTTATATTAGATGTTATGTACAGTAATAAACAGAGCTTTATAATAACATTTCAACCCCGTCACACCGCCATACCATAATACAAACACACAAACAGAATGACACTGACACACCATAACAAATGTAACCGAACTGAAGCTCTCGCCATAATGTAAATATAAACTCTCACACCAATATTCCGTCATATAAACAGAGTGACACCACTATTCTGTCATATAAACAGACTGACACCACTATTCCTTTATGTAACAGACTGACACCACTATTCTGTCATATAAACAGACTGACACCACTATTCCTTTATGTAACAGACTGACACCACTATTCTGTCATATAAACAGACTGACACCACTATTCCTTTATGTAACAGACTGACACCACTATTCCTCTATGTAACAGACTGACACCACTATTCTGTCATATAAACAGACTGACACCACTATTCCTTTATATAACAGACTGACACCACTATTTCTTAACACAGACTGACACCACTATTTCTTAACACAAACAGACTGGTCACTGCCATACCATAATAAAAAATTAACACACACACACACACACACACACACACACATATATATTGACGTAGCATAATATAACGTAAACAAACACACAGCCTGACACAACCATACCATCGAGTACTGTACATGTTATTCATATTAATATACCAGTTGCAGCTAAGAACACTACTGTATTAATATTAGTATCTTGCTTCCACATTCGTACATTTCCTTAGAGAGTATTAATAACATGTCAAGTAATGAGTACAGTTAAAGGCCAAGTTCCCTGGATACTTCTAGCAATATGTCATCAATTTAAGGGTCATATTGATAAGGTGGGATTGACGATTCTGATATCTACGTACAGTATTTACATTTGTTCTTGTATATCAATAGCCGTTTATGTTGTAACCCTGACGTATCTATGAGGAATACCAGTGGCGATTGATTGATTGTGGCGACGCAACAGCTTAGGTCATATGTCGCCGAATTAAAATAAGGCTTAAAAGACTAAGCTCAAATAATGCGCGATTACTTGTCAATAACGTACAAGAGCAGAAAGAATATTGTTCATTACTGTATATTAAAGTACAATATGTCCAATATATCCATGTTAACAAAGATGGAAGGCTGGATCCCTCTATGACATCAAAACTACAGCTAATATGTTCGTCGCGTCCCGGGAATTATTGGCTTAGGTTATTTTATTTCATTACATAATCAATTACTCATCTCTACAGACTCAAACCATCAGAATTACTCAGATATAGCCTGTTATTCACCCATATGTTAATTGGTCTACATTTCAAAAAGTTCAAAAGACGCAAAATCCGTGGAAGATTCCTTGACCAATTTCTCAACAAGTGACCTTGACCTCTGACCTTGTGATCCCGAGAAAGCACAGACGTATCATAGCCCCTGGATTACCATGTCTTAGTCCTTTGAGTATGATACGAGTAGTTTAACCCTTATTACGATGACTTAATCCTTCGAGTACGATAGTTTGAACCCTATTTTCGTCAACTAGATGTGGTTAACATCAGACACACACACGAATACACACAGCGTTGGTGATAATAATACTGCTTCCCTAAAATTGACGGAGAGGTAAATCACACAACACGAAACGATAACAGGTAGTGCAGGAAGGTGGGGAAGTGTACAGTGTGTAGTGCAGGAGTGTTTGGGAGTAGGGGAGAGGAGGCGACACACACACATGTCATCGTGGCCTCAGAGTGATGGTAATGAGCGTACCTTTTGAAAGCCATCAGCCGAGCCGACCATCTCCTTCCCTCTCAAAATTTTCGCTTCTTTGTTTACCAACAAATCCATCACGTCCATTTCAAATTGCTATATTACACTAATACTTACTATTAATGTTATATTCCATACGTATTCAGGCACGGTGGATTATATATAAAGCACATTGAGTCCCGGCATAATAAATTCGTTAAACTTTCTGGCCGCACACAACGTTTCGCGGCTGTCATGTTGCGTTGGTCGCGAGCCAATCAGACGCCCAGCTATGCGGTGACGTCACACGTTGATGTCTCGTCGGCCAATGAGAAGTGACAGGCGGAACGAGCTGGCTCTTCTGATGAGCGTGGCTCCACCCTGCCCCAGGTATTTTGGTTGCCGCCTGCATAGCTTGGAGCTCCCCAACCAAATTACTTGTGTTTCCACAACATAATTGTTTTCCTTTTTTGTAGTTTATTTCATAGCAAAAAACTAAAACAAAACCTGGTTGGTCCCAGTAAACAACCATGGTCATGGAAATGTTTTACTGAGATTACGTGTGATCAAACCTTTTTAACTACCAAGACACATCTTACAAAATAAGCAAAACTAGTGAGAATTTCCGCCGCGCCCAAAACACCAATAGAGAAATCAGAAACAGATGTCGCATAATTCTCTCTCGCCCCTCCACCTCTCCCTCCCCTTCAGTCTTCCCCCATCCTCTCTCTCTCCCACCTTCATTCTCCTCTCCCCTCCTCCTTTCCGCTACCCTTCCTTCCCTTCCCTCCTACCTCCTCCCCTCACTTCTACACCCTTCCCTTTCTTTTACATCCCCCCCCATCTTCCTGTCACATCCCCTTCCCTTCCTTCTCCCCCCCCCCCTCCGGTACTTTCAGTCGTAGCGTGGTGGTCACGGTGAGGATGATCACTGTCATTATATATAGAGGTGTGAATCACCAACTTGCCAGGGTGGCCCAACTGTAAACCTCCCCCATCCCCCCAAACTACTATCCCCATCCCTAACATGGTCAACACCCACCCTTCACCTCCCCAAACCCTTCAGATCCCCCAAAACTCCTAAGATCCCCAAACACCTATGATAACCAACACACCACCTCCCTGATCCCCATTCCTATCACTACCCCACTCCAACACCCTGGCAGGTGGCCCCCTCCCACGACGCACACTTCACTGTTACCTGTACATATCACTATACTTTATTATGTACAGTACTGTACCTTGTTTACCCAGCGACCATTACCTGTAGTAATGGCTTTATCAGGTGAGGGAAGCCCGTGTGTGGGTCTCACCATTGTTCCTAATTATCTTGTGTGTTGTTATTCTAAAATATAGCAGTACTGTATAGTATTCCTGTGTCCACCGTCTCGGTAGGGAGGGAGACACTTCCACTATCATTCTCTGAGTGAAGATGAATTATCTAGTATTTGTTCCACATACTGCCCTGACAGTGCACAAGTTGTGAGAGATACGAGCTACGACAATTTATTGAAAGTCAAAGTGAATATTTATGTTTTCCCCACAAGGAGGAAGACAAATTGTTTTTCCTTTTCTTCTTTTTTCCTTTCTTCTTACAAACAATTAACAATTAATCGTAACTCCTGCACTCCTGGTCTATCTAATTTGAAACTTGGCAGACTTGTACAGTACAACACCTTAGTCCAATACTGTACACCTTAACACCTTTGTTTTGTCCTTTTAGGAAGTTTATGGTGTCATCGGTCAACTAACTCAAATTATATACTGTATATATTTGGGACTCTGTGCAATGATACCTTAATAGTGTATAGTGCAGGTCTTAAACAGTGATGCGGTTCAGTTCTGGTGCCCCTATTATAGAATGGATATAAATTCACTAGAGTCGATGCAGCGAAGAATGACAAAAATGATTCCGGGACTTAGAAACCTTCCATATCAGGATAGGTTAAAGAAACTTAACTTGCATTCCCTAGAAAGACGAAGAGTGCGGGGAGATATGATAGAAGTATTTAAGTGGGTGAAAGGAATCAATAAAGGGGTTATAGATAAAGTTCTTATAATATCCGAGCAGGATAGGACTCGGAGCAACGGATTCAAGTTGGATAAGTTTAGGTTTAGGAGGAGATAGGAAGAAACTGGTTCACAAATAGGGTGGTGGACGAGTGGAACAAGCTTAGCAACTTTGTAGTAAGTGCGGGAACTCTGGAAAGTTTCAAAAGGAGGCTAGATAGATTCATGGATGATAGAGAGTGGTAGTAACTCTCGACAGGAGCTGCCATGCACAGGCCAACCGGCCTATTGCAGACTCCTTATTTTCTTATGTTCTTATGCTCTTATGATCATTTACAGTGGTCAAATGTCATGGGAGACTGAATGGTGGAGAAGTGATGCATTAACTTGGGAATGTCGGCCTCTATAATGCTCGAAGGGCAAATAGGCTTACCAGCGACTAATGGATTACAACAGATGTAATAATAAAAACAAATAATAACAACAATAATAATAATATCGAGAACTACGGTAAACATTGTTTCAAGAAAGTGAATCAAAACTTAAAGATTCAGTTTGTTTTCTGCTTAAGCTACTAAACGAAATGACTACGTACAGCATTTCTAACTATTATATCATCCCTTTCCTTCTATACTTCATCAATCTGTCTTTTATTTCTCTTCTTTAAGGTCTCTCTACCTTTTGATCTATTCCTAACAAATGCAGAAGAGGTTTGAAGTTACCCGACGGATAGATAAGAGATTTGTTTATGCAATATAAGAGAATTACCTCTTTATGAGACAGGTTAGATTACAGTAACCTCATCAGAAATTGGTCCTTAACACATCTCCCCCTTGACCATCAACACTGAACACACTAACCTATTCAGAAGGCACTGGACAGCCACTTTCCCTCTATTTGCCATTTATATCAAACCTTCCCTTCTACTACACACCTGAACTACCGCACCTTCCCCATGTGGGTCATCTCTGGATAAACTATCACCTTCTGTGGACATTCTGGAACTTAAGGCTTTTCCCCTTGACGGTCATCTTTTAATATAATACCCATTGAAGTAGAATCTCGAACTCATATCAGTTTCCCTCCGGCAGGTGTGGTTCCAGAATCGCAGAGCCAAGTTCCGGCGCAACGAGCGGAGCGTTCTGGCGCAGCGCAGCTCCTTCCGTCCTACCGACACCACGCCCTCCGCTCCCTCCTCCACAGGCCCTGTCGAGCAGCCCCTCGCTCCCCGGCCCTCAGGTGAGTCGCCCTGCTCCTTAGTGACCAATAATCCCAAAGACCTCATCCTTCAAACGACTACTGTACATCTCAAAGCACCTTCAGGGCCCCAGGACACACTAGGGTAAATCATTTCCATTACCGGTAATCTCAGAATGGGATTCATTATCAGCTTTAGTTTAAGCATAATAAATCTAGTCCCTCAAATACGGTTAACTCCAAATCAATAATGAAGTCGCGCCCTGTGTGACGGGATGAGCCAGCATGGGCGGGAAAGACGAGCCAGGTAGGACGGGGTTCATGTCCTGGTGATGGTGTACAGATCACCCGGGAGTTAAGTGACTCTGGATGAATGGTCAGGAAGAGTTTAGGTACATCAACCAACTTAGTCGCATCACACACTCAACACTGTAGCTTCAGGTGGTAAGAGGATAACCCATCGACTTATAAACAACAGTTCCACAAAACAATTTTGCTGTGTTCTTTCGTAAATCAATTGTGTTTGAATGTTTAATGATTTACTCTATTTCCCGATTGAATAATTCCGTAGCTTTCTTTCTTTTAAAAATGGTTAAAAAGATGCATGTATGTCTGGACAGAAAAGCGAGACTGACCAATTCAGTTGTTGCTTGTGTCAGACGCTGATGAACAACTGACATCGCCACCAACAACTTTATAAAACAGTCAATAATGGATATATTGCACATGTAGAACTGTAAACATTTCCCTTCTACAAGATACCAAGATCTTACCATTACCTTTACAGATAAGGTGACTCGAGCAATGTAAAATATGTTATAAACAGCACCTTAATTAAGTACTGTATAATGAAAGGTGTCAGACTCTTGTATAATAAAATGTAAGGCGCACCCACCGAAACAATGAAGTGTCCAAAACACCGATTGTAAACCAAGCGGCAAATCATAACAATTGAGCCTAAATTAATTACGAAATGCATGTACTGTACTTCAGCAGAACCTGGGCTGTCTGAGTGGTTTTATGCAAGATATTATTAAAGATTTCTGTTCAAATATGAAAATCAATATTCACCATCATTATCTCTCATTATCTCAGAATGGGAAGCTAATTTTATGAGTAAAGTCGCAATTAATAGTCAACGATGCGTATTGTGAGCTGCTCCAATTAATGTAAAGCTCTCAGGTGCAGCGAAAACCCTTAACTTTAAAACATAGATGTTTAAATTTTCAGGAGTGAATATTAATTTTAATGGTTACATCAACGACAGTCTCATGGCACAAACTAGAACGACGCAGAGGATCGGTGTGAAACGAAAGATTATTGGTTCTAGAAGTACACCAGAAGAACAAGGATTGTTTCCTTCAGAAGACCGACAATAAAACTGAATTGTTTAACTTAAGATTCAATTTTTAGCCTGGCAGTCGACCGTTTTGAAATAGGGAAATCGTCTAACAGTGCCGGAAGCCAAATCGGGAACTGGGAGTTAGTAAATAAGCTTCAAACACACGAAAACGTTTCATCACAAAATGGAGATATTGAAGCCCATTTGAAAATACTGTAGTCATCTTGATAAGTGAAAAACTGCGATGTGTGATCTGCTCCTACAGTACAGTACAGTACCACCATCAGGACTACTGTGCTCAAACGCAGCTCCCCTAGTTTCAGGATTACTATTACCAATTACGGATACTGATCTTAACAATCGTACAACATTGCCACTACTACTTCTGGTACTACAGGTACTATTACTACAACTACTAGGTTTACTGCTGCTGCTACCACTACAGTTGCGATGGTGGTGGTAATAATAATAATAATAATAATAATAATAATAATAATAATAATAATAATAATAATAATAATAATAATAATAATAATAATACAGTAGTTGTCTTTGGTTCCATGTCAACAAGATAACTACACTTGCAGGGAGTGGCAGTATGGTCATGTGTGATTACAGCGGCTACGGCAGCGTGGGTGTAGGCGTAGGCGTGGCGGCGTGGAAGGGCTCTAGCGGGGGAGTGGGAAGTGCTACACCCCCCTACCTATCTCACTTCACACCCACCAGCTCCCCGACCCCTATGTGTACCTCCCTACCTCCAGGTATGTTCGTTTATACACACAGCTTTGATAAAATAAAGTTGTTTTATCCTTAGAAAAAAAATGTTCTAACACGTTTCCGTCTAACTTAATTTAACATTACCTGATTCTATTTGATCTAACCCAATTTCATATAGCATATCTTATTTAATCTACTGTACTTCATCTATCCACAGTACCCTATTCTAAGTTAACCCATCACACACACACACACACGAATACATATCAGTGTTGTTAAATCATATCGTCTTATCTGTTCCACAATCTGTAAAAAGGTATTTTTGTATCATCAAATTTGTATAAAATATATTACAGGGTATACAGTATTTAGTTTCATTTATTAAAACCAATACATTACTTTATCGTTATTCTATGACCCTCGTCAAAGTGAATGAGATAACTATTTCACTTTTTATTCCTGACAACCTAAACCAGACGTAAAGTAATTAAAATAGAGGATCAAACAATCTATGACAGCTCTAGGCATAGAAAATCTGACAGATTCACTCTTTAACACACTAGGGTCTTTTATAATTTTCTTTCTATCTTCATCATATTCCATAAAAATCATGGAGATGTTACTCAACAACGGGTTAGGGACCTCAGGGGAAATCTTTTATATTTCATAAAGCACCAGTGAAGGGTTTAGGGTATACGATAACTTATTGACCAGGAAGCGATGATACACTTATAATCAATTCTAGATGATTCTTATTACACGTATAAACACTAATAATCTTCCCTCTCCCACAGGACTGGGCGGGACGTACGGCGGAGGTGTAGGTGGGACGGGCCAGATGAGCGCCGGGGCCTACATGGGGTCATCCTTGGCCAGCCTTCGTCTGCGTGCCCACGAGTATTCCCTCCACCAAGGGCAAGTGTGAGGAGCACCCAAGTTCCCCAACACACGCCTCACACACCTGCTGCCAATATGCTCACCTAACGTGCACTGGCATGCCTCTTGTTGCCAGAAATTGAGGCCATGTATTGTCCTCGTGCTACTAATTGCAGGTGTAATGAAAAGTTCCTCTGAGCTCCCTACACCAGAGGGAGAGGTAACAAGAGGAGCCGAGAGGTTTTGTACACCTGCTGACAGGCACTCTGCCAGCGAGACATCTGTGATCTTGCTGTCCTCCCTGCAACATCAAAACCAGGGAGGACAGAGTAAATGACTAACCCGTCCTTAACTGCAGCACAAGAGAGGGCTGCAGCACCTTCACATATCCTTCAACAGCAGTACAGCACTACGATGGACAAAGTACCACCCTATTTGTCTTTCCCCACTTGCGGAATCACCACAGCTTCACTTTTCCCCTTCACTCCAGTAGCATCACCACGGCAACATATAATACCCAAATATAGCCTTACTGTCATCACCAGGAACATTACCACCACAGCAACTCCTAGAGGACATACAGATATGGACTACACGCTTCTACAATCTTCTATTCTGAACCTTTCTCGTCCATCCAGTGACATAAGATTTCCTGTTTTCATAAACCAATTAGAAAATACACCAACAGAACTGGCATCAACAATTGAATACCTTCGTCCTATATCCACCATTTAACAGTCATTGTGCTCGTAATGCTCAGATTGAAAAGTGAACTTTACCAAAGATATGCTTTGCTCCAAATCGGTAGTCAAGTGTTTAAATAATAAACTTATCAAAAAATGAATTAAGACTGAACTATTTGTTGTGCCGTGGCTGAAGGACGAAAATACAGGAGGACAAGATACAAGACAGTAAAGGCAGGAAATGCGGACCCTAATGGCAAGTGACGATCCTTGATGGATGACACCTGGGGTAGGAGGTATGATCCCTTGGGCTGGAAATGATGCATAACACCGAGTGCAAGAGGTTTGATACTAACTACAAGGATGGATGGCGTCAGGGGTAGAAGATATGATGCTATAGAGCTAGGACATTGGCCTTTGTACAGTAGGCAAGACAGATCCGGTATGTTTGGTCGCTGTTTAACGGCACCGGACAGCCAAGGTCCAGCAGTGTTAAGCATACCTAAAGACCACATGAATGTGGGCTCCACCTGGGGCACTTTTGTGTAAGTCAAAAGCGTGTGTTTGGAAGGACATTTCTCAGTCAGGCAGTGAGTTCCGTTTGTTCGGAAGGTTGAAGGTGCATTTTTCAGAAGCCAGGCAACTGTTCATTGTGCTTGGAAGGCACGCATATGTTTCCTTGTGCTTGAAAGTCACACAGTATCTCCTATTTGTGTTGGAAGGTGCTGTCCACCAGCAGATCAGTTATTCAGTGAACGCAGCTTGATAGAACAACACTGAACCGTTGATGGAGGAAATACACAGACAAACACATTCACTCACAGACGTAAAAAACAATGAGAAGCCTAATTGTGATGGAACTGTCAATGTGTACTTATTTGTATATAATAACTAATACTTCTGAGAGACACTGTCTGTGAATGACTGAACAATGTCGTCCTGGTGATGGTGGCGTCAATTAAGTGTATAACAGGAGCTGTTTGTGTTGACACGTGAAACTGCATTAATGAATTAAAACAGTAACTGGTCATGAAATCTGTAATTGATCAACGGGAATTATCCAAAAAGCCTTTGTGATTACCGAAAGACGCTACAATACATGTCACTCTCAAAGGGAGAAAACCTTTTGTTATTATATTTCAATGTGTCAAAATAAGAATCTATGTTAAAAAAAATATTCAGATTTAATGGTCAGATGTTGTTCATTTAGACGTGGACAAATTTCTTATTGGATGTAATTAAAAAAATAATATATTGTGGACCACACTTTCTCTTCTTTTCTTGTCCTTATTCTTATCAATGTTCAAAGTAATATTTTACTGTGCAAATCTAATCTGTTTGTGGCATCATGACAGACACATAATATATGTTAGGTGATATAAGAGTATTCACACAGCCAGTCCACTGACTCTACATACAGTAGTTGTTTACTTATTTCATGATTTCATCTGAGGGAAGAGTTACTTTTTTGACTCGCCAATTTTATTTTCCACAACTGTCACCATCACGACGACCTCTCTCCCTACCCCCCCCCCCCATCCCAGTGTTACTATCATTATTACCAACATCATCATTAAAACTCTTAGCACTATTAACGCTGTCACTATCACCATCATAGCCTCCAGTATCATTGTAAACCTCCAGTACCATCATCATAATCCTGTGCATCATTCTCATTACCATCATCTTAAGAAGTATATCAACAAGCTGGAGAAGGTACAGCGACGAGCAACTAAACTCATCCCAAGTTTGTGAAATAAAATATGTTAAGACTGGCGGCCAAGACACGTTCTCCTTAAACAAGTGAAGACTAAGAGGAGACATGGTTGAAGTGTGGAAAAACCTCAATGGGGATGATAATATAGACACCCAAATATATTTTCGGCTTAATACAAACCAAAATACTTAAATCAATGTCTTCTATTTAGTATTTAAGCAGTAATAGGCATTTCAAAACGAAGTTTGATACATTCTGCAGGACAACATTGTAGACATGGGTAAATTACTATACATACTGTAAGTGCCCACCACTAACCAACTGAAAAACTAACATATAAGAGTATTTTACTAGCCAACTGGTGGACTAGCAGAGCTCTGAAACTGATCAAGAGGATGACCGGTGCACTGGGGCACCATACTGGCCAACAAGCGAAAACACTCAATATTCTGTACTATAAAAGCTAAATTTTCCTCACCTTTATTACGTGATCCTCTGGGTAAGACGATGGTTCCTTGGCAGAGACGACAATTTTACCTTACTTGTCCTCTTGAGTACTTGACACTGCATAACACCATGCCAGTTGCTAGTCTCACAACACAACTGGAAAATATGACAATAAATTGCATATCCACCCCACAAAAGTGACTTCGAGATGGGAAATTAAGAAAACAGGATAGCTCTCAATAAAGTTTTTCCTTTACTTAAACAAATACAGTAAATGGATAATGTGTAAATTGTGTGTCAATTTGTTTGTGTGTGTGTCCCTGTCATTTTACTAGCCAAGGGTGTATGCCTTATGATCAGATAGCAATTACACACTTGAGACTCCGTTCTTTAGCCCGTGTTCTTCTGTCCCCAGTCATCCAAACTGTTAACCACAAATGCATCGACAGCAGTAACTCAAGTTCTGTAAAACGTTTATTGTTTTGTTTCACTTATTGCAGTGACTTTTCATTCTTTGATGTAAAGTATTCCATGAAACTCAACAGAGGTAATTATTATACTTACTACACTCACCTTCAGGATACAGAGTGAGGAGCTATACATGGCTGGTACATTCAAGCAACATCTATATAGTGTACGGTAGCTGCACAGTGAAATGTGCCTTTTGTCCCAATTGACCCCCAACCTGACTGAGACCCAAGACAATTGGACCAAAAAGTTCATGGTTGATTGGGGCCTCATAAGAATTGAATACATATCTTTCTAACTATCTACTATATCCTGAAGACCGCTTAACCCATCACCAGTGGGACAAGGTTCATAAGTTACCCCTTAGAGTGGAAAGAGAATGTTTCACACCGGCTGTCTCTCTAATAAGGTATAACTTGAGAAAATCTGTGTTTTTGTGTCATCTTGGTAAAACTTATAGATAGATAACTACATATTCAATAAAATCGTCATAAAAGTTTACTATGGTTTCGCACGTACATAAACAGTGCAGGTATGTAAACAATGGCAAACACCGAGTCCAATCAAACGAGGTGTTCAAACATACTTGTGACAAACACAATTCTGCCTCATAACACCAATCACACGTGTGCCTCCTAATATCAAACACACAACTGCCTCATAGTATCAAACACATATGTGCTTCATAATATCAAACACACCTGTAATTTATGCTATCAGCCACGGAAGCGCGTCATAGTATCAGGAGAAAGACACGATAGAACACATTACAAGAAGGTAAATGAGTGGTTGAAGATGCCACGTTTGACTATAGAACCCTAAATACTGTACAGTACGTGTTATAAAGACGAAGAGGTGGTTATAGAGGTGTAAAGCCTTGTCTAGTACAAACCTTAATGACCTGAGTACATTGGCTTAACACACAATGACTGAACTCAGATAAAATATAACCAGATATATAATTAGAGACAAATAGAAATCGAATTTGTTATAAGATAGATGCACCTTTTCCAGTTTGTATTAATTTCCTTTAATAAAGGTATTTCCAGTACCAATGATTAGTTATCAATATCCATTCAAGAAGCTTCAGCTGTTAGCGTATCATGGACTAAAGGGGGGGGGAGGGGGAGGGGGGAGTCCGCATTACGAAAAACTAAGAGGCCTAAAGTCACACTTACAACAGTAAAGTTTTTTCCAGTGCTTATGTTTATACTGTAGAGGTCTAAAAATTAATGAATTCGTTATAATAATTTTTGAAGATTATATGAATAACTGTTCTTAAATTTGGGGAGTTGTATCATAATTGTATTTAAATAATTGGGAGTGCATTGTAAAATATGATTAATTTTAAGGTGAACTAAGAATAGCAGGTTTGTTTTCCTGTGACGTCGTGCCTGGCTCACCAAAGAGTTGATGCTTCCTTCAAATACCTGTAGTTCGTGTTGGTGGTCTCCTGTAGCTTGTGTTTATTTATTATTAAATATTGAAATAACAATTGACTAATGATTTCCTTTTAGTATGAAAAATTGAATTTATATTAGGCTTGCACCTTCATGGTATAACGCAGAAAACTCATTTTCAACTGCCAGAGAACTGAACTTGTAAGTAAGCCCCAGCGGGAAATCGAAGATAGTGTCTACATTAATTCAATCCTGAAAATATTGAAATAACCACGTCATTTCAACGCCAAGTGCATCCTCTGGAACTTTTCATTTGCTTTACATATTTCCAGAACTTTTCTCTTACTAGACAGGACAACAAAGTGATAATTCCCTTTAACAAGGACAACACTAATAAGAAATTTCGAAAAACATTTATTAATGTATAAATTACACATCACACATTCCAAGACCTATATTTAGATTCAGTCTCATAAAAGATCCGAAAATCTTAAACATATAATACCGTATAACTGTATACTAACTACATGGTAATCTAACTACAAAGTGCATCTATCTACAAATAACTTTTATTTACAGTGATATCTACCCTACACAAAGTCTTATCTACAGTAACACACGAGTCTCTAACCTTAAGTGTCCATTCGTCAACCAGGCTCTGATTTTGCTGAAACCTTTTCCTCAGCCATCGATACCTTTTGAAACTACTCCACTGACTACTTTTGGAGCCTGCTTCACCCATCACGACGTGATCCATTTGAAACTGTTTCAATACATACATTATCATCTCTTTGAAACTGCTCCACTTAAAACAATACCAATCAGATAATGGTCTTTTAAAGCTGGTTCTCTTTTTAGTTTCCTCGCAGTATGATGCCTTCAAAGTTAAGTTACGACTGAGAATCAATTTCCTTGAAGATGGATCACAAAAGTAACATCTACTTGGTGAGGCCGAAGACGTCTGAACGGATTCTGTTGAGCCAGGACTCGCGGCCCCATATGTTGGAGTGGACCCTCAACCGCAGTCTCACTTGATGTTCGTAGTACAGGTGCGGGTAAAACTTAATACCAGTTATCTTCTCCACATCCTGAACGGTGGCACTGAATTCCCGGGCAAATTGCTCAGCGTTCTGTTGAAAATGTGGAATTAGAAAACGATAAAAAGATTTCAGGTTTGATTTATTTTCTTGCAAACTTTATCCATTCCCTTATACCTGTCGAGTGGCCAGCATCAAGAGTAAGACAGTCTCCCACATTTAGTCATTCTAGCTCCTGCAACAGATGTGTTGTGGTGTTCCTCTTCCATAACAAAAACCCAATATTTCCATAACTACTTGCCTCCCAGATAATTATGAACATTACACCATGGGTGAATTTATAGTCGTAAATCTGTAGCAGTATACAATATGTCACGTGGGAGCTGATCACTTAAGTTTAATGAACCTTTGCACAACAGTCCATGAAAAACTAATCCAGAAAACAGTAACGGAACGTACCATCTAACAGAAAATCTTACAACATACAAATTTTATTCTAGGTGTACATCAAATTTAATGAACTACTTTATGTGCAAGAAATCTGGGAAATTTAATACAAAAATTTTTGGCAGGTGATCGACATTATACAGCATAGACTTACCAAACAGTTGGAGACGGTGAGAGTCTGAGGGTAGACGAAGGCCAGGGAGTCGAGATAGTTGTGAGGGCACTTAGCGAGGTTGTCCACCCATACCATACAACGAGTCACCACCAGGAACATATGGGTGGGCACCACCAGATCCCCGCCTTGGCTATTACACACACACGGAGAGAAACATAAAAAAATCTAGTTAAAGGATAACATCAGTAAAAACATTTCAAAAGTGACACTTAAATGTTTCAATTACGATATTAATAATGTATTTTTAGGCATCTTTGATTTTCATACACATGCTACAGTACTGTACATATATTTTACGTCTAACTTGTATGCAAGTCACTTAGTCGCTATAATGTCCTTCAGAAGGATCACTATCATGTAGCTTTCTTAATTCATCACAATGTAAAAAAACAAAAAATAGAGTAAACTGTACAACTACATCATAATTTTCTTACCTGATTATATGAAGGTCATCAACGAAGGTGTCTGCATCATAGTCGAACACAGGTCCAGTAACCACGTTGATGATGCCATACCTGTATTTCCATTTCTTGACAAAATCAATGAGCTGCTTCCACCGCTGTGTCAAGAAGTGGGTGAAGGGGGCAGAGTTGGACATGAGGTAAGGCAGCTGACCACACTCATCTCTACCGGTGAACTCTGGAGCGAGGAACATTAACATTATCGCTCTGACATAACTACTATGTCCCGGTACAGTATATATAACTACAAATATAACAAGTTCAATTCAATTTCAATTTCAATTGTTTATTCCTTGATAGAGGAAGCGGGATCCTAGTGCTGTCACTAGGTATCCCTGTACAATGACACCAGAAGCATCTGGCAAGTGTGACAAGTATATACAGTATAAATATTATAAAGGGGCTTACTAAAGCCTAAGGAAGGAAGGATATTCCTTTAACACAATCAATATTATTTACAAAATATCTGGCCAGTATGGGGAGGATCATCGTGTCTCCGTCAGGGGGTCGTGGAGTGGTGGACCAGCAGGCGTCACGGAAGCGTTGTGTGTGGGGACATCTTAGGAGGTAGTGGATAAGGGTGCGGCTGTCGGGTCTTCTGCATAATGCACAAGAGCGTTGCTCAGGGGATGCGGGGATACCAATCTCCCAAGCAAACTCATACCCAATGATGATACGGGCAGCAATCACGTCCCCTTTCCGCGACCCTTTCCCGTAGACATACGAGAGGTCAGGAAGTTTACGGAGGACATCGTACCAGGTGGGCGGGGAGTCCAGGGGGATGGCTGCTTCCCGAGCTTCTCTCTGTTTGCGGAGAAATTTGGGTCCTAATCTGAAAGAGTGCTCGAGGAACAACGTAGTCAGGTGTGGCCTTGTTGCAGCCAGTCTTGGCAAGGCCATCTGCTGCCTCATTCCCCAAGATACAGACATGACTGGGTATCCATAGGAATGTCACGGGACGGCCTGCATCCTGAAGTGTGGATGTTAACCCTCGTATTCGGAGGATGAGGTCCTTATTTTCCCCTGATCCAAATGCGATCCCGTCGAGAGCAGACCTGGAATCGCAGCAGACAAGCAAGGGGCAGAAACCATCAGCTTCTTCCTCAGCGAGAAGGGCAGCAAGGAGGGCTATTAGTTCAGCCTGAGTGGAGGATGCCCCCGTCAGAAACTCTGAGACAGTTTGATAGGCTCAGGGGCATCAGGACGGAAGATGTAGACACCAGCCCCGGCCCTACCTGTAGCGGGGTCAACAGAACCATCAGTGTAGAGGACGACCCTACCTGGGGACCAGTGAACGATCCTGGAGAGGTGGTATTTGCAGAGAATAACAGGGTTCACCTGGGATTTCGGGAGCGGTCCACCGAGGGCAATCACTTCAGGTTGAAAATCCAGCCAGGGAGAAGGAGACGAACCAACAGCAGGGGTGACAACAATATCAGGCAGGAGGTCGTGTTCCTGAAGGACTCGGATGAGTGACCCTCGCCACTGTCTTCTAGATGGAGGTCGGTCTCGGACAGCAAGAGTCAAGTTGGTTTGGACATAGTTGCCCCGAGGATCCCGTAGAATGGAAACGGCAGTTTTTAGGTAAAACTCCTGGACACGATCCTGTAAGGGGGGAAAGACCAAGTTCGGTATATAGAGAAGTAGAGCGTGTCCACTGAGGAGCCCCAAGGATGATACGAGCAGCTTTCCTCTGGATAACTTCGAGACGGTTGACAGCAGTCCGACTTATGTTGACGAGGGCAGGGGCGACGTAGTCGACACAGGAACGGACAAAGGACTTGTACATGGTGAGAAGTACAGAGATGGTGGCACCAAGGGAACCCCTGCACATGGTAGAGAGGGGAGCGAGACGCCGAAAGCATATGTCTCGAAGATAGCGGACTTCAGGGATCTGACAACGTGTGCGAGTTACATACACACCCTGGTATTTTGTCTCATTAACCCAGTCCAAGGGCGTTCCTGATAAGAGAAGGGGTGGAGGTACAACACGACCGTGCCACATGGCTTTTGTTTTCGCAGTTGAAAGAAGGAAACCAAGTGAATCACACTCTCTGGAGACCAGATCAAGGGCTTCCTGCGTGCTGAGGTAGTCAGGGGCTTGGAGGAGGACATCGTCGGCATATCCTGAGTGGACAACTTCTGTCGGCCACGGGAGAGATGCAATGGAGTGCATCAGAGCGTTAAACAAGGTGGGACTCAGGACTCCACCTTGAGGGGTGCCGAGGTTCATTTCTTGAACAGGAGACAGAGCCTTCAACGCGAACCCGGGCCTGACGTCCAGTGAGGTAAGAGGCGATCCATTGTAGAAGTCTCCCTTTAACCCCTAACCGCGCAAGTTCAGCTAAAATGAGGGCAGGCCGAGCCGTATCAAAGACTCCCCTGGATATCAAGGAAGACGGAGATGCGGGCAGTCTGATTGCAATAAAAGGAAGCAATGGAGTGTGCTGTGATGTTCAATGAAACCATTGAGGGAGTTGTGGAAGCCGCCTATGGTGTGAAGGAGGCGACGATGGAGTATCCTCTCCATCATCTTGCAAACACAGGAGGTAAGACTAATGGGTCGATATTTCCCAGGACCTCCCGGCTTAGGGATGGGGATAATAGTGGCATTTTTCCAGTTAGACGGGAGAACCCCATGTTCATAAGACATATTGTAGATAGCAAGCAAGGGGTCGTTAGGAATATTAGTACAGGCGTTGAGGACGGAGTAGGTTATCTGATCATCCCCAGGAGAGGTGTCTTTTCTAGAGCGACGAGCACTGTCAAGCTCGAACTGTGTGATGGGATGATCAGTGGGGGCAGGGGAGGTAAGAGCAGCACGAACAACAGGCTCAGACGCATCGATGCGAGCCTGCACTGCCTCCTGCATTGGATCTGGAAGTGCCTCAGGGGAGGAAGCTCGTGCCCAGTCCTCCATTAAAGAGCAGGCAAGGGAGGCGGGGTTAGGGTGGGGAGGAGGCCTCCGTCGAGTACCCCGTATAGCATTAATCAGATTCCATACATAAGAGGGTGACGACTGGAACGATAGAGACCCCGTGAAGGATAGCCAGTCCGCCTCACGTATCCGACGGCGCTCCTGAGTTGCAAAGGAGCACCAATTTTTGAAGTCTTCCCAGTCCTCTGGAGACCGAGACCTCCGTATGGCAGAGTGGAGATCACGGGTTACCTGCCGGAGATGTCTCATGGCAGGGATACGATACCAGTAGTTGGTGGCACTTCTGGGGTGACGGGGAGGGCGTGGAGGGGTAGCGCGATTGACAGAGTCATACACGGCATCAACAAAATCAGCGCTGTAAGAGTCAAGGGACTGGGGGACAACATAGGAATCCGCCCAGGTAGAAAGGTATTGGGTAAAGGAAGGAACAGCATCTTGTGTGAGACGAAGGCGAGGGGATCGATAAGGAGCTGATGTCGGGGCAGAGAAGGAGAGCCTGAGATGGGTAGTAACGGCAAGATGGTCACTATACAGAGCAGGCTCGGTGCAGACGGTAGGATGAAAAGAGGTATGACCGTTCAATAGTGAGCCAACATCAAGGAAACTATGGGGGGAGGCGAGTAGGATCGTCAGGACAAAGAAAGCGAACATCATCATCCCCATTAAGAAACTGTGAGAGATGTGATCCGTTAAGGGTACATGGAGTGGGATGATCCGGAGTAAGAGTGGGATGGCGGGCATTAAAGTCGCCAAGAACAATAGTGGGAATCCCATCATGGAGGTCATGAAGAACCTGGGGGTCCAGAGAATCACTCTTGAAATGAACATTGACTACACGAAGGGTCCGGTCACCAAGAGTAAGGGAGACAGAAAGTAATTCAGACGGGGGTCCATGTGAGTCAGGTGAAGGGAGACGAACAGATGGAATGGTGTTACGCACAAGGGTGAGGAGGCCACGAGCCTGCCCACGGTACCGAGGCAGGGTGTAAACAGTATAGCCAGAGAGGCGGAGTGGAGTAACATCGTCTGTGATGGTTTCCTGAAGTAGAGTAACATCTACTTGATGGGAGAGCACAAACTGGGCGAGGTCTAAGTCCCTGGATGTTCCATTGTAAGAAGAGGAGGGAACGGCCTCCGGTGTGAGATGAGTCGGAGGGGCTAGACAGGGCTCCAGAGGAGGTACCAAATTCTGTTGAGAAAAATGGAGAGGGAGGAGTGGGAGAGCGAGGGATGGATCCTTCATCTCGGGAGATGGAAGGAGGCGGGTCATCAGGGCTTGCAAAGTGCGCCCCTGTTGGGTCAGGGTGTCCAGAATGAGTTGTTGCCTCTGCAATGTCGCAATTGTTTTCACAAACAAGTCGAGTTGGGCAGAGAGAAGGTTGATTTGCTTGGAGTGGCGATCCAGACGGAGAGTGATTGTTTCCATAGAACCAACTTGGTGTACCTGTACAGGAGCTGGAGGTGGCGGCGAGGATTGCCGAGGGCCCGACTGGGCAGGTGGTGGTGGTAGCGACGGAGAGGGACGGTGAGGGTTCAGTTGAGTAAGAGGTGGTGGTGCTGGTGAGAGACAGCTGGGGTCCGGGTGGGCAGGAGATGGTGGTGACTGTGTGGCAGGGCCGGCAACGACCTTGTTCCAAGAACGGTAGGGAGAGGGAGGGGGGAGAAAGGATGGGTGGTGGGGGTGATAGGGGTGATGGTAGATGAGAGGAGACCAATGGTAAATCCTTGGTGGATGGAAGAGGCGGTGGTGGATAGGATTGAGGTTTGGTTGACAGGGGCTTCGTCAGAGACGAGGGCGGTGGTACAAGGTAAGTTTTCCCCGGGCGAGTGCCAGGACGCTGTGGGCAATTGGCATTCCAGGCGTGGTGACTGCCATGGCAATTGACACACCGTGGAATAACTGGGATTTTGTTCTGAATTTTCGATTTGCATTCCACTGTTTCGTGAGGACCTGCGCAGAAACCGCAGGCGACCATCCTCGTGCACTCCCAGGTGCGGTGTTTCCACGATTGGCAACGACCACAGATTTTCGGGGTTCCGATAAATCGGTCGAGAGGACAGTTGTGAATTGGTCCTACATTCACCTTCGGAGGGAGGGGGCCCACCCACCAGCCGATGAGTTCGTTGGATGGACGTTTGGAGACCGGGTTGATGCGGCGTTCCATGTCCAGTAGTTGTGGGAGAAGAGGGCGAAGATCGTCGATAGGGATCTCCCAGGGTACGTGGCGAACCATTACCTTGGTACGACGAGTTTCTGGGGTGATGGTGAACTTCAGCATCACCTCCCCCTGGGGAGCAGGAAAGCCCACCTGAGGAGCAGGCGTACCGTCTCGTTCATTTGTGTGGTGACTATCACGGCTGTGGGACCTCGGCGGAGGCGAAGTGTTGAGTCCTGAAGTGGAGAGCAGTGACGGAAGAACCAGGTCGTCCGTGTGCTCAGAGGCAAGTCCCGAGGGAAGGCGAGACGACGAAGGCGCGACGGGGCAGGGAGACAAAGGGAATCCCCATGTCCATCGTCGGCGGAGGGTCGGTCATTGAGCCACATGGAAGCTCACTTGGGGACCCCGATGACAGGATGAGTCCACCCTCTACAGCCCCAGAAGGGGTGCAAGGGGGAGCCGTGGCCCCTGCTGGAGACCCTGACTTCTGAGGTTTTCTGCTTCTTTGACGTGTCTTCAAGAAGAAAGTCGTCAGCATCACTGTCACCTACTGCCGCAGTTTCCAACGAACGGCAGCGTTTAACGGCGGGCATAGGGCACGTTGGCAACACTGCAGTCAGGTGGAGTGGTAATGACGTCACTGCTACGTCACACTATCACATTACGCAAACTTGAAAAACTTTGCTCAGAGGGATCGGGCGGTAGGACAAGATGTTTTATCCCCCAAAAATGACACTAAGTCCAAAAGTAAAAAAAATATATGCCACTGTGCTGATAACTGGGTCTTACTATAGTTGTCTGCACAGGCTGGGATTGGTAGACTCGCTGAATTCGTCAGAAATACGAATTTTACGGAGCAGTCTCTTACAGCCTTTGTTGACACTCCGCACGCATGCGCGTTCCCCATATAACCAGTTGAATTATTTTTATCTCGACCAAACATTAAATGAAATAACCTTTCTAGCTTTAAGCTGATCATTATCACTGTCAACATCAACGTTTTATGGCAGAGGAAATATTATTTTTCCATAATGTTAAAGGATTCCTTGAATGTTTTAAGATTCATATCTATCTCTAGTAACAAAGACCTTAAAGTCAACTGGTTTTACCAACTGTGTATAAATAACTTATGTAAACGTTCGATTGTAATGTGCCAGTAAGTATTTACACAGTGACTATTCCCCACAGGAATTTTTTAATTAGAAATAATAAATTTGGTTGTAACAAATGATACCATTAGTTTCCTCAATTAATTCTTGAAAAAATTCCAATATGCTCCTCTATATACCCCACGTAGCGCCATGGTCATATGACTCACCAGGAGGAAAGAGTGGCTGGGGAGAGATCTGAAGAGGGGCTAGAGTCTGATAAGCACTGCAGGGAATTCGCTGGTCCACCCCCAGCCTCACGTCACTTCTCCAGCTGAATGCCCTGCTGCCCCTACTCTGTGTCTCCAGGGTGAAACTCGTCCACAGAGGCATTTTTACCAGGGAAGAGTAGGCTGTGGACAGGATGAGAGGGATGTATCACGGGATGACAGAAGAGGCCATTAATATAACCATGACGTTTTAAAAAAATAAATAATTAAGATCGTGTGGTAATACAGGTAATTTTAAGATTATCTAAAGAACAGCAAAATTTCTTACTGTACATGTATTGCTCAAATACTTATCTTTCATGGTTGAATTACATCTACTGACTTAAACATCTAAGAGTGAATAAAGTACAATATACGAATTATGAACATATATCGTTGCAGCCCTTACCCTCTGTTCTTAAGACTCAATCTTCCCTTAATCAAATGCCCCAAAAGATCAACCACAGGAGAACGAATCCAAGAAAGAGACTCATCATCTAACATCCACTGGGATGATAACCCTTTAACCTAAGACAAAGCGGCCACTCAAACTTTTTGTATTACAATACTCCAATATGGTGTCAAGGATGGATCAATTTAGATTTCTTCATTGTAAAACACGTTTCTAGAAATGCACCACAAATAAAAGACATACAATATAGGACCCCATTTGTATAATAAAGGCAGTTCCATATATCCCACCTGGGTCACAATAAAACTAGAACAAAAAGTTCTATTAGATTAATATTGAAGTGTTAAAATGTAGGGGATTTTCCACTCCCCATTAATTCCCGCCAATAAATGAAACTCCCAGGCATGATTTGATTCAACCATCGACTCCAACGACAATTGTAAGGAAGACAACAAGGTTACAATTATTTCTTATTCTGTTGGAAAAGAGAAATGTTGTCCATATCTTTCAAATTATCGGACATTGCCTTTTGAAATCATTTAACATCGTTAAAAATAATCCATTCTATCGTTCAATCTTACCACTGACGAAGTCTGGTTGCAGCAGCATATAGGTGAAGTCTCCAGTCTTGCCCATCTGAGGGAGACCCCAGGGGAGGTGTTTGATTATAACCTCATTGGACTCTTCCTGTGCCTCTTGTAGCATCTCCAACCACTCATCATCGTCATGAAGATCTCCCTCACACAAGACCTGAGGTTCATAGTACCCGTATGACAGTACCCCTGATGCAGGTACCTTTGCTATAGGAGGCGGGAATTCCTGAAAACGTAAGGAAGTGGTTAGTCATATTGTGACTTATTTATTAACCTCCTCCCCTAGGTGCAGGGATAAAACTTTTAGTTTTGTCTGTATATAAATTTGTGTACAGTATTCAAATATAATACTACACAATAAGTTGCCCCGATTTTAATGAAAATTAGCAGACTGGTTAGGTGCTAGCCAAAGAGATTCAAATTCAAAACTTTAAGTTGTGCATCATGCTGGGGCTATTGCTGCTTTAACAACCGCCTTGTTACAACATGATGCGATTGTTATTATTAACCTTATATATGACGGCACCTCTATGCACCACCACCTTATCACTCAAGAAACTGAGCTACATCCAGCTAAACTGAATTAAACTCAGTTCAGCCGTGCTAGTACAGATGGACGATGTCACTCCCAATTTCTTATGAAGTACAAAAGGACCACAATATAGGTATCTGTCTCTCTACACAACCTTCCATTACCTATCAATTGTACACTATTAGTGTAATTTAAACAAATACTTTATGTCAAACCCTGAAAATAACCTTAAATAGATACAGTACTCTAAGACTAACGCTACAAATACACGATATACATAAAACGTTTAGAGTGGAGACAGTCGCCAACCATCACACATGAGGATGGCATCGGTTGACTGAAAATATTTTAAATGGAATGACATTCAAACACACTTCAAGAATACAACTTGGACATCACTTCCTTTAAAAAGTTTCAAATATGTTTGGAAAATATAATCAGACGATGCAGCTTGGAACAATCTAACCCAGATGACAGTGTAAGTTCAAATAGTTTTTTAAGTGTGTGTGTGTGTGAGTGTGTGTTTGTTTCTTAAATCAGACGAGCACACAAAGATTCTCATATATTCGTAATTAAAGAAGTAAATATATATTCGTAACTAAATAAGTAAATATATATTCCAACGCACAGACAATATTAGTAAGGATAACCCACCATTGCTGCGGAGTATGGTGCTGGAGGAGGGTGGGCCAGGAGGCGGTGCAGGGAGCCCCAGGTGCCATTGTTGGGGGCTGGTGTTACCCCCAGCAGGTGACACATCAAGTTGTATAGTTCTATGTTCTGGAAGGCCTCTACCTCTATGTTCTGGCGGATGTCTGGGCCGTGGGCTACGAACATAGCCTAAGTGAAGAAAAAAAATTATGTTAAACTGTGATGCAAAGTAACACCATAACTCAGCCAGTTTATGGAAACCTATGGCTGTGTCATGGAGTGCTAACATTTTTCATTCAAATTTCTCACATTTCTTTAACTCCTCCTCTCAGTAAAACTTGGATATCTCGTATACTGTAAAGTACATACAAGCAGAACACAAACACACCAGTATTGGGCAGCTGTCCACTTTGGGGCTAAATCCTACAAAATAATTATATACAGTGACATAGAACAATTGAGTTTTTGAAGACTGCCTGAAATGGCCTTCCTGAGTGGAACTACTTCGAGTAGATAAGTAGGATGAAGCAACTGCCAATAACCGCCTACATCTTGATAGTTCACAAATGCTCTGTTGTCCCGACAGGCCCCTCTTAACTGGTTATTAACATGGCTTTATGTCTCCCATTAATAGATAATAAAGACGTCTCCAACATATCCTTGACCTTAACAGAGCAGGGATCAAATTCTGGTGAATATTAAGAATGTAGACACTAATGTTTCATAGGAGAGTAAGAAGATAAGAAAGAGGGATGTTCCATACTCACGTTCATGGAGGAGAAATAGTTGTCGTAACCATGGTCGCCAGCATCGGCCTTGTATGTGTTGTCACCACCCACTGAGAACCCAGCGTCCATGTCCAACACGATGTCCTCTATCCGTCGTTGCCTCCCCACGTGCCACCTGCAAAGGTACTCTAATTACTGATGTGACAATTACTGGGTTGCCACATCTACTAACGACTAAACTTATTAATGTGGTAAGCATACATGCCATATAGGTCTTTCAATTTACACCACTAATAATGACTGAAGAGGAAAGAACTTTTTTTTTTACAAATATAAAGCACAGGGAGAGATCGGACAATTGTCGTTGTTATGGTACAGTGCCACATAGTCCTCGTCCAGGGTATAGATAAATTTTGGTAGGCAAAGGTTCTTCAAGACAAACAACGAAACAACGGCAGAAAAGGCAGGCCCTCCTATATACCCTTGCAAAGGTGCCAGTGAAGTCGGCCAGTGGTAACTTCGGCCCAGTGACCTCTGCCCAGTTTAGTGATTTCGGCCCAATCATAATATGGGCCGAGATCACCAACAATAATTTTCTTGGGTAGCAGTTGAGCCATATGAAAATTATCCACTGAAGATTAGGTTAGAAATGTAATCGCAGTGAAATTTATGCACACACACACACACACACACACACACACACACACACACACACACACACACACATCACTGCCCCCCCCCCCAAAAAAAAAATTCCGGCTAAGCCCTCGGATGTATCCCTCTAAACTAAGTATGCCAGGTCTTGTAAAAATGAAAATGTCTATTGTCTGGCAATAAGACTGATAAGACGTAAAGGAAATAAGTTTGAAGTAAGGCCGGTTATATTATGTTATGGACAGTTATGATTAGATGATGTTAGATTGGGTTAGGTTAGGTTAGGTTTAGGTTAGGTTAGGACCTTCAAACACATACCTGATGGGGAGTGACGTCTTTTCGTACACTCGCATCTCAGGTCTCTTGCACGATAGAGCACGCATCATCTCTTCCTTGGTCTCTGGGGATGCAGGAATTATGATGTTAAAAGAAGCTATGTATTTGTTTCCATAGATGACCGACTGGTCTGTTTGAGATCAAGTTGCAGGAAAATAAGAATGTGTTAGGTCATCTTGGAAGGTAAAAATCAAAATAATTTTATTCTTCTGACAGAAGTTGACTAGTACACTACTACAAATACCATGAAACAGAGTAGTGTATCGGTGAAATAGCAACTGAATTTGTAATGCATATATACAGTATAGCTATATCATTAATTTTATATATCAAGTGCAACAGTAACCTTTCATCAAGCTTGAATTGTGAATCAGTGTTTATATCTAATTGCTAACATCTCCCAGATAGTAGATTATAGACTGCACCGTACTTTGTGAGCCATCGTTAGGGGTCATCCTGCCGAAGACGCCATCCCAGAACCTGGTCCTGTTTACGATATTGGGGATGTAGCTGTCGAGGCGCAACACCCTCTGCTCCCCAGCCTCCACCATGCCGTGGTCGGACACCACCAGGAGGTTGACGCAGGAGAACAGGTTCCTCACCTTCAGACCATCCAACAGACGCTTCACCATGTTGTCAACGCGAGTTAACATCGTGTTCAACTGTTTAGGGAAGTCCACATTATATTCTGGAGACTGGCGAGTACATTATTATAACTAATTGCTGATACAGTTTGAATAGTGACTGGTAAGACTCGGGTAAGACTTTGTAAATAAGGTGCGTTTTATGACAAAGAAATTATATTTAACAAGGTGACTGATAAATAATGCAATTTATAGATTGACCTTGTGAGGAAGATGACAATGAAAAATGTCCACTAATTATGCTATCAGTGACAATAATGAAAAATAAAGTAGCATACCAATACTGAGAGCACCACAGTAAGTACGGAAAAATCGAACAGTATGAATGTCAAAATGAGGAAACAGGAGGACACATCAGGGGTGAGGTGATGGGTGGTGACAGTATAGGGGTGTGAGGTGAGGGGTGGTGACAGTATAGGGGTGTGAGGTGAGGGGTGGTGACAGTATAGGGGTGTGAGGTGAGGGGTGGTGACAGTATAGGGGTGTGAGGTGGTGACATTATAGGGGTGTGAGGTGAGGGGTGGTGACATTATAGGGGTGTGAGGTGATGGGTGGTGACAGTAAAGGGGTGTGAGGTGATGGGTGGTGACAGTAAAGGGGTGTGAGGTGATGGGTGGTGACAGTAAAGGGGTGCGAGGTGATGGGTGGTGACAGTAAAGGGGTGTGAGGTGATGGGTGGTGACAGTAAAGGGGTGCGAGGTGATGGGTGGTGACAGCACAAGAGTATCAGGGGAAGTTTAGGGACAGTACCATAGGGGCGTCAGGACCGTAGATATGGCCCATGTTGTCAGGCTCGTGCATATAAAGCGTCATGAAGGATGGCCTCGTTTCAGCAGGCAAATCCAGCCATGCCAGTACCTGAAACATTAACGTGCGAGAGAGCGGTGAACCATTTGGTAAATTATCAAGTTATTCCTTTCATTTACAACATTCACGAGCAGGAAACAAATGAGTGATCAGACTGTACTTGGAATTATGCACTGGTTGTAAACATGGCATTACAAGGGGGCAATACTTCTCTTAATACTACAGTAGATGAATACAGTAAAACCTCCATTTAACGGACTATATGGAGGGGGAAATCCATTATATCGAGAACCTGTTATATGTGAAACCTCCACCGAACAAAGTATATAAAGATGAAAGTCCGTTATATCGAGGATTCATTAGATATGAAACCACCATCTAACGGAATGTATGGAGAGAGTTTTCCGTTATATAGAGGTTTTACTGTACTCTACTTCTCATAAGTTAAAAGAAACACTGATCTTACAGCCTAGTAAAAAACAGGGTGTTCCACAAGTCTGACTGGTTGGGAAAATATACAAAATATAAAGGATGTATTTTCCTTCAACGTATGAATCCTTAATTAGAAAATCCAAAGTCCTACGAGTCTATAGTTTATTCAAGGTGTACGAATATCTGAAAATATCTTCTCTGGGGACTTACCTGGTCAACGCGATGCTCAAAGGGGATAGATTCATTATACTTGAACCAGAAGGTGGGTTGGTTGCCATCCACCTCTGATCCCGGCCAGTAATATGTCGCTGCTCGCTTGCCCTGTGAAGACGACAAAATGAGTTTATCTTTTCACTTGTTCGTGCTGTAATACTCAATACATAAGGTCGTACAGTACCACAAGTTTTCTACAACACAGGATATGTGACTACAGTATATATTGTTACGCCGTCTCTTAATTTACTTAAATATCCAGGTTCTAGGCGTAACCAAACAAAGAGTGAAGTAAATTGAGAGAATAAAGATAAATAAAGTAAACCTTTAAGAATTTAATTGATTAAATATTAACACAATAAAGAGCCTCGTAGGCTGTCACAACAAATTGATTCACCATCGAAACTTTTAAGACACAAGTGATACAAAACATCGAAACATCAAAAGAATAAAAATAAAGCATTGGATTACGTTAACACAGCATAAACATGTAAAAACTATCACTGAAATTAACTAACGTGAAACAACACTGAATTACTTGAATACAACTAAGCAAATACTGATGGACACAAACAGAGACATAAATAGGTACTCACATAGATATACCACATTGGTGGCGACAGGAACAACACAAATAAATTAAGTATAAGTAACAAGTAACACTCAAAGGATGTGTACTGTATGACAAGAGAACTGAACTGACTCGAGTCAGTTGGTGGGTCCTATATATAAGGTCGGCTCCCGCCACGCGACCCGCCGGTGGGTCGTTTAACGATGCAGATGGTCGTTAGAGAACAAAGAATGCTGGTTACAATACAAAATGAAGAAATAAGATGGGCTTGAACAAATAATGACAGTTAAAACCTTAACAGCACAGGGTAAGGTGACTAGAATATATAATAGTAAATTTAACACATCATTACAGGAATAATATGGAACATGGGAGCACGTTATATATAAAAAAAATAGAAAAAATACGACACGGTCGTAACAATATATATATATATATATATATATATATATATATATATATATATATATATATATATATATATATATATATATATATATATATATATATATATATATATATATATATATATATATATATGGGTAAAACAACTCGCACCATCATGAAGACGGCACAACACAACAGTAATTCAACTTTTCACCTAATAACGACCTTTTTGGGAGTTCATGACTAATTTGATGGTAAATACATTAATTTCATACTATTGTAGTTGTATTCATTTTAAAGTTGCATATATTTGTAATTTTTAACAATAATGTTTTAACACTTTCAAATTACTTGTCTTAATATTATAGTTTTTAATAGCAATGATCTTTACGGAATAGGTGATGCAGTGTGCAACGACAAGGATAGACTACATTATTTTGAAGTCTTGTGGCAGAGAAGTAGCATGAATTTTTTTTTTTACATAGGTAAGAATTAATGAATAGCAATGAATGTTGTTAAATACGTGTGTGTGTGTGTGTGTGTGTGTGTGTGTGTTTCACGGATTCATGTCCGCTTGCATGTATAAAGACACCAACACCACCAGTGAGTGACCTGTCTCTCTGCTGTCCGCCAGATAGGTTCGCCTCCCCACCACCGTTTTTTGAAGCTCTCCGGATTCCCTAACCGGAACTCAGCGCGGAACACCGGGTCGTAGAACTTATTAGCGATGATCCCATGCGACGGTGGGTACATCCCCTGCGGGAAGAGGAGGTTCACCATGAAATTAGTAGGATGTCGTATTTATCTTGGCTACATGAGGCTACGTCAAATTAAAAAATACTTCTTTACATGAAGAATTAGATCAGGTTAAGTTTGATCTGGTTTGACTACATAAGAAATGATTACACTAATTTTTTTTTAGATTAGATTAATTTTAAGGTGAATAGATTAAGTTCAAAGGTGATTGTGATCATTTATAATCAGCACGAAAAAGGTTTCATTTGCTTTGATGAGGTTGGGATGGATTAACTTTAGCTAAGGTAGGAAAGATTACCCAGGCTAGGTTGGGGGGGGGGGTGTACTAAACACTGGGAGGGAATCTATACAAAAGTTACATCTGGTTAGGTTGGATTAGATTATGCATTGTTAGGTTGGATTAAGTTACACAATGTTAAGTTTAGTTTGGTTTGGTTATACAATGTTTTATTAGATTAAGTTACGTTGTATTAGAATATAAAATGTTATTTTAGGTTAGGCAATGTTTGGTTATACTGTATTAGGTTAGTTTAGGTCAGACTATGCAATGTTAGGTTAAGATAGGTTAAGTCAGGTGAGGTCAACTTGAATTAGATTATGCTTTGTTAGATCATCATAAAATTACTAACTCACTCCAACCAACAAAGTGTATCAACTCCATCAGCTAAATCAAAATGCCGACCTTTCTCCACGTAGTCAACCTCTGAACAGGGAGGAGTGAGGTAAAGAGCCACAAACTTCCTCTCTTAATCAACCTAGTCTCTCATTTGGGAGTTGTAAAGTAATTATATCTATCAATTTTCCTTACTCCTCAGATAATTTACGTTGTCTATTAATTTAAGGACTAGTAAAATAATTATTTATATCCCTCCTTCCTCCCTCAAATATTCTACTTAGTCAAGGTCTCTAGGAAGCTAAAAATATATTTCCCTAGCTATACTGACGGTGGCGATGGTGTAGTGGTTGGGGAAGGTGATGGTAGGGTAAGAAGGTTTGACGTAGGGGGCTCGCACTCCCATGTTGCCCAGGGCTTGGATGGTGGGAGTCTTCCCGCGTAAGAGGTAGTCCGCCCGGAAGCCGTCCATCGACACCAAGATCTGCAGGACGGGAAAGTCAAGATAGTTATTGATATTACCCAGTCATAAACATAAGTACATTACCAGTTATAGGAAACTTCGCTCCGTGTAGTAAGATGTATCAACAGGAGAGTTGCTACAAAAAACATAACGCCATTCAATATAATTACAGGAATTTTAACTCCCTTTATTATAATCATAGTAAAGGTACAAAAAGTTACATAATCTTAACTCTAATCTTTAAAAACTTTATATATAAATAGTTTGACATATTAACTTCAACGTTTTAAGATATTAGATATGTATAAATAGTTCCAGAAATTGCTGCTTCATTCATCAGAAATATTATTACTGTGCGATACAAGTACGACCTACAGATATATCCTAAGTGCGTTTCCTTCGCCTAGCATTTTCCAGGTAGGTTCTGGTAGTCTGAGTCCAAATCTAATTAAAGTAGACTCTCAAGTTACAATACTTATGAGCCTCTAATGTGAGCACTGTTAAATGAGAGTGGGTACATAGTTAAGGCCGGCAGTAACTGGGGCTGTGACCTGTGCTGGAGGGGAGGACCTTGGTCTTACCCAGGGCAGTTATCATAACCCTCTTACCTCAGAAGCACTGCAACTGACCTATAGACTACACGCTTTTTTGGGGGGGAGGGTGGGGGGGGACGGGGAGGAGCTTGCTTAGCAACTATCGTAATCCGTAAATGGCGACTGGTTGCTAGGGGCATAGCAATGTCATACCAGCAAGTTGGAGGCCAGTTTTTCTTTTAAATTTTTTATACAATCGACTCGCTCTATAGGGTCATCTGCCACTATCAAGGAATCCGCCAGAAGTAAATCCTATATTATAATTAAACTAAATATTCGTATATTAGCATCACATAATTTTGCTCACAATGAAACTATCAAGGTGCATCATTTTATACACAAAGCAAATACATACTGTTTGTTTACTATCTTGTGGAAATAGGAAATTATACATGTAAAACTAGCAACACACACACACACACACACACACACACACACACACACACACACACACACACACACACACACACATCCTTGGTAATAATTGTATAAAGCAGGAGAAATATTTGTGAGGGAATGCAGAAAACTTACATCAAAGTCAACGTCACACATCAAACAGTTAACGTCACACATCAAACAGTTAACGTCACACATCAAACAGTTAACGTCACACATCAAACAGTTAACGTCACACATCAAACAGTTAACGTCACACATCAAACAGTTAACGTCACACATCAAACAGTTAACGTCACACATCAAACAGTTAACGTCACACATCAAACAGTTAACGTCACACATCAAACAGTTAACGTCAAACAGTTAACGTCACACATCAAACAGTTAACGTCACACATCAAACAGTTAACGTCACACATCAAACAGTTAACGTCACACATCAAACAGTTAACGTCACACATCAAACAGTTAACGTCACACATCAAACAGTTAACGTCACACATCAAACAGTTAACGTCACACATCAAACAGTTAACGTCACACATCAAACAGTTAACGTCACACATCAAACAGTTAACGTCATACAACAAAGAGTTAACGTCATACATCAAACAGTTAACGTCATACATCAAACAGTCCATCAGTGGGTGTCAGACGTAATCGGGTGGAAGCAAGGGTGAGATACTCGCCAGTGGGTGGTTGTTGCGGAAGGTGGGCGGGCAGGTAGAGGTGTCTTGGGCGGGCATCGTGTAGGCCGCCCACGCCACGTTCAACGCAGCTGATAGTAGAAATACCTTGCGGCAGAAAAGCTAGTCAGAACAGGTGGAAATACAGAACAATAGACATTTATTTGAATTCATGTAAAATCTAGTTATTCTCGTGGCGAAAACTTCCCTATTGAGTTTAATCTTCATGCCAATTGTTATGTAGAAATGAATAAATAGTTAGGTGTTTCTTCTCTCTCTCTCTACCAGCCAGTCGACGGGTAAGGAGTGAACATCGCTCATCTACATAATAATACCAACCGTCAGTGTTTATATTGTGTTTGAGTGATAACTGCGACATAGAGATGATTTATATATACAGTACTTATTTCCCTCGGCATTTTTAACAGTTCTACATATATGGATGTCCATGTAAATAAGTACCTACAAATTATATATGAGCATCTTCACCCTCAACTAACCTAATGTAATTCCGTTAAAGTTTGGTTAGGAAAGTGAAGGGTGGCTTTAAATAGTAAATGTTATCGTACATGCATTAATTTCCATGGAATTATGGCAATACAGATAAAAGATTTTCCCTATATCTTTAAATAGTATTAAATTCCAAGAATGGTGTAAATTTAAGTGCACAATTACAGCTGGATGGACTCGGAGTGCCCTGAGATCGAAGCAATGACTCTTGGAACAGGAGGCAAGCAATACTTCCATTCCACCCAGTTGCAGAACCTCTGTAACTAGCAATTAAAAAAGTAAGTTTGGGCTGAATGAATCTAAATATGTATCTTAAATTAATATTTGATGTTAAAGGTAAATTATAGAGGAGAATAACCAGTATAATGATAATACAGTATATTCGTTTTAGGAAACTGGGGAATGACTGACAGCATTTCGATTCAATTTCATCGGGTTGGTGAAGACGAACGCTCCGTTATAACAGTGGCAACAGGTTGCACAATCAGGGAGGTGCGGACCACAGACATACAGTGTAGGCCAGAAGGCACCGACGGTCTTCAAATATGCTGAGGCCGTCAAGTTTATTTTTATAGTGCACCACTGCTCGCCTTGGGGTACTTCACTTGTAGGTGTTAGAGTACACCGTTACCGCCTGGCGCTCGGGACAAGGACGTACTCCATAAAAAAACGTGCAATTACTTTTCTGTTACTACAGTATTTATGGAGTTAAAGTATACTGTGAAAGTCTACTGAGAGGATTCAAAGTTCTGATAAACTCCACCATAACTGTTGTCCTTTGACGCTAAAGTCAGACAAAAAAATTTATAACCTGTTTTTTTAGGCTATTTACGAACTAGAAGTGTGCGTTAAAGATCTGTTTACAAGGTTTGCGAGCACTTCAAACCCTACTGACTGACAACACAACTGCTGCCCCTGGCCACTAAAATTAGATATACAGTATATAAATAAAAACATTCTCCACATAACACCACATAAACATCTGGTTAACAACATCCTCCACATAACACAAGCATCTAGTTAACAACAGTCTCCTATAACCACACAAACACATGGTTAACAACATTCTCCACATAACACCACACAAACATCTGGCTAACATGTCAACCTAAATATAGAAGACTCACACGTAAAAACCACCTCCGATGCTGACATTTACGAACAAGTTTACAAAGGTTAAAATTCACTAAACTCCCGAACAAAAAAAAACACGAAGTAAAAAATGAGTTATTTTGTCTCAACATAACTATGACTTTTTAATGTTGTGGTCGCCCGATGAAGGTTAAACTATGTCAGTGACCGCTCACGTGTGATCCCATGAAAGGTCTTACCTGGAATATTTCTACCGAGTGTCATCAAATCTGAGTTTAACACACACACAAGGACAACGCCGGACACATTTTAAGCATCGTGTTTCATTGTTTCAACTTAAGACCAAAAAGTGACGCGCAATAAATAAACTGTCAATTGATCCTCAAAACCAACCAAGTCAATGTAATTAACTACCTGCAATAAACTATAAATTGCAAACACGACGAACCCTAACAACACAAGACTTACAGACAAGAGATTATATATATATATATATATATATATATATATATATATATATATATATATATATATATATATATATATATATATATATATATATATATATATATATATATACACGGTTTATCATAGAAACACAGGTCAACAGGTCCGGTGATCTTTCATGGAGAGAGAGTAACTATCACAAACCGGTGACAGCAATTCGAAGGTTCATGTCAAGGTTTCTGCAGACCAAGCCATCTACTCTTTGTCTTATGTGCATTGAATTACTTATCCACATTCTTTTTTCTTGATTCTTTTTTCTTTCTCTGCTATCCTTTCCGTCTGTTTCTTCTTGCCTGTCTTGTCTTCCTTAAGTGAAAGACTCGGACACACACCGAGCTGTTTGTGAGAGCTGCAGGACAGGGCGGGAAAAGCCTCAACGAGCAACCGATGAAAGTACACTTTCACACCCTGACACATTTACGCACCTCTGTTACCTCCTCTACCTACACATTACCTCCATCAGTCTATTACCTCCTCCACCACTCTATTACCTTCACCTCTCAAAGGAAGCATGATCCTCCATACACACTTGTGTAACGAACTCGACAATGATACAAATGACAGATCAAATGTTATGGGTTGGCACTAGGGAGGCGCAGGATGTTGTGACTGCAGAGTGACGACCCCCTTACCGGACGCCAGCTAACAGCAATCGGCACTTGTGTCAAAGAAGGCAAGAATGTAAACGCTGTAAACGCTTTGCCACTTCGCCTTGCACAGGATGCAAAGGGGTGCCCAATAAACTAGTACCCGTGCGGGGCAAATCTGAAATCCGCAGAACACAATAAAAATGTGAAAAGTTGATCCCCCCTTGGAGTGGTAGTAGCTCTCCGGAAGATGTGTACTTCCGGCGAACAATTGACCTAACATAAAACGACAACCTGGTGGCTGAGAAAAGCACTTCATCCTTGAGGGAGAGGAAGTTGATTCACCTCATCTGAACATCTCTGTGTGAGATGCGAGTCCTGACTACCCTTATATCCTGTAAGGATTCAGGTGAAACTCTACCACATTGAAAGTATCCTAGATGATGCTACTGTACCAGACCGAGTGTGTGTGATTACGTCAAACCACGGCGGCGTTATTCCCCTGTGACTCATACTCCACAAGTCTCCAGATAATGTTGAAGGTGAGACCTTTATGATACGGTCAGTTGTGTATGTCAAGTGTTTCTGTTGATCTGCATAGTGCAGTGAAGTGTGAGCTATTATAATTTGGATAACACCACAATATGTTGGTGTGAAGTAAACTTATTGTTAGTGTTAATATAATATTTCATCCCCCAAACCTAAACACACCCAATTAAAATCTTGCTGACAAGAAATATGATGCCGTAAGAGTTAACAGTTTATAAACATCAGTACTGTATAAAGAAGTAAAAAAAAAAGTGTTACGATGAGACAGTAACCTTCCACACCTGGCTGACGCATCTTGGTGAAGTGCTGTGTGATGTTTTAAGACTAAAACAAACTCCATCTTCTATATGCACAGTTGTCACCCTCCTCTCCAATGTATGTATGACAACTAATGACAGTCCACTGGCAGTTGCTAGGCAACGTCCACACAGATAGGTGACGGCAGCACAAAACAACCAGGACATATAACGCCCCGGCGGTCATAGCGTGCAGGTACTTTTTCTTGAGTACCTGGAATGTTTGATTAAAAAACTAGTCCGCTAACAAGACCAGGCTTTACCACCCTTAGTAAACACACACCAGACGCTCACCACAGAACACCTCACAGTTCCTTCTTTGATGTGGTCAGCACCTGGCTCCAATGACACATCAACGTACTCTTACGCCAAAGAGTACTAATAGCGAACTTATCACGAGATGGATTATCAAAGGTTCTAACAATTATTCTTTCTTGGAAGTAGCTTACAGGTTCACATAAACTATGGCAAAGAGAAGGAGACCAAAATGGCGACTAAACTACTCTCAGACTACTGTATACATTCCCAAGATATGACTCACTCCAGACAAAAGGCAAGTATTATCGTACGAATCTTTGAGAATCTCACCTTAGTTACATATGGTTGTATTTCAAGTACCGTAATATTATCTTCCTTTACTTGGTAACATCCACCTGTGTAACCCAGAGGAGAAGCAAGAGTATTTACAGCCATCCACTGTTGGCATGTCAGGATCTTACTCATAATGAAACATACACTACACACTTCACATTTCTACCACACACACAAGCAAGATACGGGTGTTAACACGAATAATATCCTCACACAGACAACGTGATCTCCATACAGCACAACGAACGACTGAAATAGTGTAAAATGAAACTTTTAAATCATATCACAACCAAAGAGACTGCCTCAGGTAAACGTAGGTGTGTGTGTGTGTGTGTGTGTGTTATATCGGCTATGGAAAAACATAAGGCAGGTAAGTGACTTCATTAACCACTGTTCATCGTTATTTGAGTCCGTAAATTTAACGCTATAAATGGATGTAAAGATGGTCCAATTTATGCCCTATTTTGTTTAACATATAATATGCAGTTGTGGCCAAATTTCCGTCAATACTCAACAACACCTGACACCTACTGGGGGGTCATTATGTAATCACTTTATTGCTGCTGAACGAGACTTTGCAAATAAATCTTACAAAATAGATGTCTAAATCACCACCCCCTTACCTACATGTCCTTTCAGAAGGAGATAGATATCCCTAAAGGTGTCAAGGGAATAATGACTGGCTAATCTGATAGATGTACCAAATTATGGAGTTTAGCGTCCACCAGGAACCGGAAATACTCTGGCCAAACATTGACTTCTGATAACAACCGTGCAGTCAAGAACCTTCACGCAAATATATATACATCCACCTACAAAAACAAATAAATATATAAAATAAAAAATAAAAATAATTCAATCATAAAATATGGATGACTCTGAGTATTACTATATAGTAAAGCCCTCCACACAGCAGGTTGAGAGAGAGAAACGATGGACTGTGGAAAATGTTAGTGTGGGCGCCCCAACTCTGGGTGACCTTGGTGCAAAAACTTCTGAATCTTAGGGGAGGAAAAACACCCCACGCACGCTTTTTTGCTTTCTCCCAGTCTGCTTCCCCTCACTGTCTGTGTGTGTCTGTTCATGGCACAGTGGGAACGCGACGTGACGTGATAATCAAGGGAGGTGAGACAAGCTTCTTGATCCTGGAGTACGCCGAGGCAACACCCACCTCACTGTGTGGAGGAGGAACACCCACCTCTCAGACGAGGATCTTGCCTGGTCACACTATATTATGTCGGAGAGCATGAGACTATTCTATCATGTGAAGAGGGGGAGAAGGGCCTTCCTGTATTAAGAGTAATAGAAAGGGAGTATTCTATCCTGAGTGGAAAAAACACTAACATTGGCTTTACGTGGACGCGATAAAAGTAGGTTATTTTATACTGTCTAAAACTAAACGAACGAGCGTGTATTTGGTGTTGCAATCATCCCAGGGAAACAACGGCATTCATGAATATAATATGTCAGTGGAACTTGCTTGACTCACCGAACTCTTTCCAGTCATTCCACATGACCCCTGTCATGATATATACAACTACTAATCTTCCAAAGTAGGTTGTGCCGGCTGTTAGGACCTCAGAATGTCATGCAACACGGGATGGATAATACTAGACCTATACCCCAATACCCATGGTGTAACTAAATAAAAATAATGTGACTAGTTTTAGTAGACAAAACAAATAGTATTCACATCAAAACAACTATAAGGACCTGCCCGGTCGCTTTCCCTGTGCATCTGTTTATTCCTTAGAAGGGAACTTGTATCTCAAACCTTATTATCACTTGCCCTTGTCCCGTATAACACCAGGTTTTTGTTTTAAGATTAACCCACTTTACGTGCAAGTCATGCTAAACTTTCCCTTCTTATCATGGATGCAAAATCACCGCCATTGTGTCTACAGAGATTCTGGACCCCTCGTACAATCTGCGACGCTTGCGTGTTTGTCGACCTTCATCAGCTGGACACCCGCCGCCCGTGACTCACCTGGCGGCAAAAACTACAAGCCAAGCAGGTAAACAAGACCGACCCCCACCCCATCCACAGTGCAGCTCCTCGTCGTCCATGTGCGTTCTGTCTCCTTAATCAACAGCTTAGCTCTATGATTAGCTGACTACTGTGTGGGTGTGTGTCATAAATAGTGTTGTTGTATTTTGTAATTATCAGTAAATTGTATTGCTATTTGTATATCTTTTAAGTGTACTGTACATGGAAATTTTCTCAGCGTTACTGTCACTCCTGCACGGTGGAAGTGACATTTCCAGCCAACACGTGGGTCTCCAGGTACCCGTCCTAGTCCATGTTTTAATGCTGGAGGATCCTAAACACAAAGGTAAGGTCGTGGGTGCTGGTGGTGGTGGTGCCCGGGATGTGCAAACTACTATCGGGGGAAGAAACTCGACGGCACAGCCCCCTCCCCTCCCCTCTTGGTCGCTTACATGACCTGAGCTTGACTACCTGAGCGAGGCCAAACAACATAATTCAATGGCGTTAACTTGCCATCACGGAAACACAAGTAAATTATGGATAATTTCCTTCAGTGCGACTCTCACGGTGAATAGTACTCAGAATCTCCAAGGTTTGTGCAGTAATATTTATTTTCCTTTTTAACTTGGTAAAAGCGAATCAAATAATGGAATTGTGTCAATGGAAATTCGACGCCATTTACTGTACACTGTCACTTCATGTTGCAGATGAGCCAGCTAGACGCCTGATGACATTTATAAGCAGAGGTAAAAAAAATGCATACGAATCCCTTAGTCCAGACCAAATTGTTCCTTGAAGACGACATAACACCTCCCTCCCTCCCTGGCCATAGCTGACTGGGCGGCGAGGAAAACTGGGTGATTTTACAAGTTAAGGATAGAGCGACTGATTAGAGGGGAACCATCTGAGTACAAGCACATCATCTTGTAATAAAAATCTACGCTTGACTGTGAAATTCCGCTTAAGACTGGTGGGTGAGATGATTCTATGATTACAGACAACTGGGGATGATTGCACAACTCACATCCATCACTATTTCATCGCGGCTTGGGGATGGGGGTGGGGGGGGGGGGGGAGGGGGGTTGTTTTCCATCTACAGCTCTTGTGAAACTGTAATGTAATATTCACTGAACCTTGATTATAAATTAACATTGACCAAACTATATTTATCAACAAAAATAAATAGCAATACAATTTCAATTTCATTTAATAATAATGACTCAGATACATGAGTACAGATATGTAGATTTCAGAAAGACAGTGTGGGAACAATGTCATTCCCGACACTCAGTATCACACACACAATGTAGAAGCGCAGTTATATATCGCCCACATCTACACTACACAGAGATGACCAATCAACAGTTATTCCCAGTTTAAGCGCTAGTTGTTAAATACACTAAGGGTCAGGTAATAACACTCTCCCTACACACACAACTCTGCTCCTCTATAATCCACAACTCACACTACTACCAAGAATATCCCCACTGGTAGACCTCAGCCACCCAGCTCTTAAACGACACCAATTTCACCGAAAAACTGACAGAGGATGACGTCACATGAGACAAACAAACAATATGGAACAACTATCCAGCAACCAACGATACAACGAACTCAGCAGAGAAATTACAATAAAAAAAATAACGTCAAATTTCCCAGATATCACAAGTAATTGCGGAAGCCAAAACGTGAGCCATGCACACGACACGGACAGACAGACAACCACTCCAAAGTACGATGACCAAAATTAAACAGCAGTATCCAAGTGAGTCTCACTAATGCTACATAAAGTTGTGAAATAGCATTCGTAGTCTTGTTGCTAGCGCTGCTAGATATAAGACTTAGTGCTTTATTAGCTTTGTTCTGTACATACATGAAAGCGAAAGGCTCATTAGGATGTGTAACTACAGCTCAGTTTATACAAGTGTTAGTTATACATGAAGGCAGCTTGGCCGTCATTTCCCTAACTTGTAAAGTTAGGTAGAGCTGGCTGGACTGGGAGTGCCCGGGGATCGAATCAGCGACTTTCAGTACAGGAGGCAGTGCTGTATCCACTCGACCGCCAAATACATCGTTGGGATCACGATCACAGTCTTCAGTCACCCACGGAAAAAAAATGTTCATCAATAACAGACTGATGCAGTCGTGAACGTGAGGTGTGACGACCTCTCCAGCAGCCTACACGGCATTATGAAATCAACAATAAATCCCAAATAACAGTGTTCTTTGATGTTACATTACAGACTGTAAGCTGTAAGACGAGTCCCAGCACACACTGACTGACTTTCAACCAATGGAGATAACGACCTCAGAATGCTGAAATAAAATACCTTTAAATAACATAATCAAGTTTCTAAATGTCTTGAAGGTAAGAAAGCATACACACTTCATAGCAGTCACCAGATAGAGCAATCCAGGCTGACTTAAATCAGACGAGAACTTAAGCACACACTCTCACATCACTGAACATGACACAGAATCACAAATATATCACAGTTGTACATATCATAAATGCCACGGACGCCTTAATAACGATATGAAGAAACAGAGGAGTGGAAAAACCGTCCATTCTGCCAGAGGACATTAATATATTATGAAGACACATTATATGAAATCACCAATCGCACTCATCAACCTCCTGAAATACACATCACTTATCACAAACCAAGTCACAAATAACATGACGTCATTTAGCGTAATTAATAACAATACAGAAGGCGAGATGCGGAGTTTCATGCAATCACCTAAAACTGAAATCACAGCCACAAATAACATAACAGTCTTGAATGTAATAATAACAAAATTTACACTTGTCGCACTGGAAAAGCAGCAGAAGAAACAGAGGCATACATACCTTGACGTCCATCACTGTGGGTGTGTGTATGTATGTGTGTGTGTTGTGGTCACGTCTAACACTAGCGAGCAACTGAGCTGGGATACGTCGACCCACTCAGCGATCTTGACTACCCTCAGCTGGACGACCCAGACAGTGCCCGCCAAAACATCCTCAGGGACAACGGGTATAGAGACTCGTGTTGTTTTTTTTGTTTTTTCCTGCTTCCATTTTTTCCTCTCGGTTTATCAAGCTGTTGTTAAGGGCACGGGGTCTAATAAATATTGTTTTGACTGACTGATGTGGGAGTCTTCAGGGCCACGGACGAGCCACGGAATTTTTTGGGTATATTCTTCCTTGTTTAAACTTAACTTTTTTTTTAAGTTCCACATCTATGTAGGTGGCTTTAAAGACATGGGATATGGACGGTAACGCTGATTTGATATTGCTTCTTACTCTCTATTCCTTATTTATGCACTGGGTCATAAGAATCTAGAACGTGTCAAATACTGCAGTTTTGTACAGTAGGTCAGGTGCGCCGTTCTTCAAGGTACATTATCCACTAAGGTATAAATATTTATTTGCTCGGTATTGTGATTTATTTATAGAACTGAATTAAATTTTATGTTTTAAAAGTGTGGTGTTGGTCTTCAATGTTAGAAAGATAAGACATATTACAGTATTTGTTATTTCACCCAAAAATACAGATTTTATTATGGCTACGTCAGAAGGAAGACAGACTTTTTTCTTTTTTCCTTTTCTTCTCTTTTTCTCTCTTATTCTTTTGTTTCTCCGAGTAAATATTGAACAATGAGTCACCACTTCTTCAATTCTGGTCCAGTTAATTTGAAATCTTGGACCACTAGTATTGTTATTGGTTAACGCCAGACGATTTTATTCAGCTTAAGAGAGCGGGGGCGTACACAAGGGGTTAGCAGACTTCTCGGAGAGGGGAGGGGCGTACACAAGGGGTTAGCAGACTTCTCGGAGAGGGGAGGGGCGTACACAAGGGGTTAGCAGACTTCTCGGAGAGGGGAGGGGCATACACAAGGGGTTAGCAGACTTCTCGGAGAGGGGAGGGGTGTACACAAGGGGTTAGCAGTGTACACAAGGGGTTAGCAGACTTCTCGGAGAGGGGAGGGGCGTACACTTCTAGGGGTTAGCAGACTTCGGAGAGGGAGGGGCGTACACAAGGGGTTAGCAGACTTTCGGAGAGGGAGGGGTACACAAAGGGTTAGCAGACTTCTCGGAGAGGGGAGGGGCGTACAAAGGGTTAGCAGACTTCGGAGAGGGAGGGGCGTACACAAAGGGTTAGCAGACTTTCGGAAGGGGAGGGGCGTACACAAGGGGTTAGCAGACTTCTCGGAAAGGGGAGGGGCGTACACAAGGGGTTCAGGAGAGGGAGGGGCGTACACAAGGGGTTAGCAGACTTTACACAAAGGTTAGCAGACTTCTCGGAAAGGAGGCTCAGAGGGAGGGGCGTACACAAGGGTTAGCAGACTTCTCGGAGAGGGGAGGGGCGTACACAAGGGGTTAGCAGACTTCTCGGAGAGGGAGGGGCACACAAAGGGTTAGCAGACTTCTCGGAAAGGAGGGCGTACACAAGGGGTTAGCAGACTTCTCGGAGAGGGGAGGGGCGTACACAAAGGGTTAGCAGACTTCTCGGAAAGGGGAGGGGCGTACACAAAGGGTTAGCAGACTTCTCGGAAAGGGGAGGGGCGTACACAAGGGGTTAGCAGACTTCTCGGAAAGGGGAGGGGCGTACACAAGGGGTTAGTAGACTATCTCCACAGGTCAAACATGTCGGAATAAGTACTGTAGGTAAGAGACAGAGTCCCGTGAAAACACTGACCTTTTTAATCATTAATTTTCAAAGAACTTCCACATCCTTAAATCATCTTCCAGTTTCTTATTTATCCTCTTTAATATAACCTGGATTTAAGGACAAGAGGTGTGCTTACAATAGAGGTGTTGTAAATGTGAGGTGTGTTGTGAATAATGGTGTGTTGTGAATGAGGTGTGTTGTGAATAATGAGGTTGTTATGTGAGATCTGTTATGAAGACGAGATGTTATAATTATGAGATGCTAGGAATATGAGAGGTGAAGGTAGTGAAGGTGTCTCAGCCCCACCCAGCGCCAATGACCTTCTTCTCGACTGAACAGGAATATTAATTACTCCTTGTCGGGCCTGAGCCACGTTCATCGTGCCTCGCCTCACAAGTCTACACTGTTTTTCACCTCTTACTTCTTCTCCACATCATAATTATTGAACTGTCTTAAAACTGTACATGTTTAACGTGAATTTTCTTAATAAATTTGGGAACGAGTTATATACAACGATGTTAAGACAGCTGGTTACGAGTACTATACAACGAGGTTAATATAGCATCACACGAGTTCTATACAACGAGGTTAACATAGCCAACATGTCTGTGAGACATTAGAGAATCACACGAGACGTCAAATATGTAACCTAACCTAACCTAAGGACGCAGGGGACGCCATGACTCTTGAAGGAATGGCCATATAATCTCCAGACGTCACAAGGAACACTGAACCCTACAACAGGAGCTGAGAGGATTCTGAAGACAGTCGCTGGTTCATTCTAATATGATCAAGCTAAGAGGAATGGATGGCGTTCGGTAATATATCGCGAGGTCGACTTCAGGTGCTCTCGCGCAGCGTGGTACTCCTGTGGTTCATGAATATTTTGTATTATTTCTCACGATTGCCTATACAGTATATTTATGTCCTGCCTATCAAAACTGAATATCAGTTTCTACCAACATTAAACACCTGTAATAATCAACACTGAACAGCTGTAATATCAACACTAAACACCTGTAATATCAACACTAAACACCTGTAATAATCAACACTGAACACCTGTAATATCAACACTAAACACCTGTAATATCAACACTAAACACCTGTAATATCAACAGTGAAGTGACATAACAGAATACCCGTCAACAGTAATATAACTCTCAACCATTTATGACTTTAACGGCAAAAAGAGAATTATCCAACAACAGTACCGCCAATCCTAACCTTCAGTGCCGTTAACGGTGGGACAGAAATAAACGGTGAAGGAAAAGATCTCACTCAAAGGGCAAGTTACGTTTTCTGATTTTATCTCACTAACTTTTCTTACCGCATGACACTAAATCCTATGTTATATCAATTACATAACACAAGGGCGTCTGAACATTAATATTTCCGCATTTCGTGAAGATTAGACACCCCAGATTATGCTATTTACTCGATTATACACCCTGACCTAACCTAACCCACCCAAGGTAGCGTCAGGGTATTCATTCATAGGCTGAGATAAGCTAGGGTGCCCAATCTTCACGTGATATTTCCTTACACTCAAACTGAAGTCAATGGCTTCCATCACCACGAAATACTGACCAGCTGACGGAGAACATTCACAGTGTTCCAAGACTCGTTAAGTTATGCTACAATAACTAATGTTCTGCTAGCCATGAGTTACAGACGTGGTGTATGTTATTCACGATCATGCAGTTGGAGTACTTGATGAAAAATATGGATAGATTGTGTGACCTGTCCATGAATCTGGAGTTCTGATTCATCTTGTGTTCAATGACTGTCATGGTAACCTTCTTCACTTTAATATCCACAGATTATTGCCTTCTACACTTGCTTACACCATCACTAACATTTATTCACTAATTCACAGTTGTCAGCGTGTAAGACAACTGGAGAAACTTCTCTTTACAGCACAAATACAGTGTTTAAACATCAAGAAAAAAGAACGACTACAACATTCACACTTATACAGTAGACACAATTACTACTATTACAGGAACCAGGGACAACAGCGGTCCTGCCACCACCACTTGTCTTTGTCCATCTCTAGCGATAAGTTTGATGTCCTTTCATACACAAGATACTGACGAAAATAAGGGTACCAATTTTCGACATAAACCCTTTAGTTTGAACATTGATGATAAAAACTTTGCATATATCAAGAGCATAAATTTACGTCGACCGTCTGATATGCAGTTCAATACTTAAAAAAAAGTATGAGATGGGCGGTTTCAAAACTAGTCGTTTCATGGATAACCTTCCTCACACACCACTGACTGACGCCCTCGAGTAGTTATCCCATTGAATATTTGTTGATCTCATCAATTTTACTTTATATTAAATATTTAAAGAGAACATTAAGACAGAAATGATGAAAGCAGCGAATCCTCACTACCTTTTAGCCTGTTAGTACGTTAACAAATCAAAAGCTCAGAGAGAATGTGGGCGTCGCTTATTTTACATATTCAAAAGATATAGACTATAGTTAGTGTGAAAATGTCTTCAACAGTTTTAATTACATTATAAAGTCAAAGCTAAGGAGTTACCCTTATCAAAGCCATTACATTATGCACTAAATCTACACACCACTAGACCAAAACTGTTCACATAGGACAGGCACAATCATTTATATAGTGTACTGTACTCTCCACAGGTTCACAATATTTATAAAAGCGTCACTAAAATTATCTACGTACATTAATTTTGTCTCCAAACTTATGTTATGAGAACCTAATCTAGTTAACCTACAGTTTTAGTATAAGTTGAACGCCATTTTGGACGTTATTTTAGTGGATAAATTTGTAAATGTACTCTCTACGTGCGCTCGTGCATCACCAGTTACGATGAAAATTTAACAAAATCCGCTAAGAATTCTGGACCTCAAGGCAATCCTCATCACTAAGATAATAGTGAAGGTTAGATTAAAAAAACATTCTTCACATTAGAATGTCAGATGAGTGTGTTGCCTTGAATGGCGGGCAATGACTGGGCTGGACGACCACATAACAAGTGCCAACAGACTTGACCAACTCCTGAAAACCAGTAATTTAATACTGAAACGTAAAAACTGACAAAATCTTCAAATATCTCTATCATAAGCAGCTTCTCTTTTTTTCAGAAATTTTACCTGGGAGTAACATTGTTATTGACAATTGCTCTCTCTCTCTCTCTCTCTCTCTCTCTCTCTCTCTCTCTCTCATTCACACACACAACACTCACAAGCACAAGCTCATGCACATAAAAAGTACTTACGTTCTCACTTTGGCACA